CAAAGAAACAATAGGCAAACCTTGGGCACTGTCATCATTCACGCCTTCATTAATCAATGTTGGTTTTCTAGTTTATGGTTCATGCTTCCTAAACGAAAACTAAAAAAACTCATTTGGATTATTCTTAGCTCTCATCGGTTCAGTCGCTGAGCTGCCCGCTGAAACTTGTAAAGAAATCAAAGCGAGTGATGGAGAACGTGCCACCAGTGGCAAATATTGGTTCGATTCTTTATTACCTGGAGAAGTTATTCAGGCCGAGTGTAACATGGAGACGGAAGGTAATCTACACCTCATGACTTTTTTCTGTCTGGCTAAGGAGACAGATGATAATAGTTTTGTTACAATTAAGCAATGTATGATAGGGTCTTAAGATGAGACAAAGATATGGAATATTTTTCAAAATTAATTCTAGTTATTCATTATGTCGATGGGATAAAAGTGTTATTTCAAAGATATCTCTATGGAGCCTTATTTAAAGGAAGGGTTGTGATGGTGAAGGTCGTGAAGCTCAGTTTGCATGTGAAAAAAGACTTTTAGGGGAAAATTAAATGGCCTATATTGGAATTCAATTCCAAATGTAGACGTCCAGAAATCAGTCTTGTTTATTTCACCCTTTGCTAAATTAAGGCTGTTTCGCAATTATATTTGTTGCTATTATTTCTTTTTCTCGGTTTCTTTGGCAGATATCGACGAGTGTAGCGCGTCCAAACCCGTTTGTGCTACCAATGCAACTGGCTGTCAGAACACTGTTGGCTCTTTTAGTTGCTCTTGTGAAGCTGGGTTTGGCGGGAGATATTGCAATGGTTAGTACTTATGGAACGCATAAATGGGTACCGTTAATTAACTTAGAGCCACAAAATTGCTTAATGGGATGATAGTGGCCAACAATAAATATATTCATCGATGCTTTCGCTTGAAATAATGCATTTTTCCCACTTTTTAAGATATCGACGAATGTAAGAGCCAAGTCAAACCTTGTGATGTAAACGCCGACTGTCAGAACACACGTGGTTCTTATGTTTGCTCGTGCAAAGCTGGCTTTAATAGGAATGGAAATACTTGCACTGGTAAGGAAAGAGCTCCTTGTAGTTTTAATCCTTTAGAGTTTTCCCATTTTTCTCACCCGTCTATGATTTTTTTCCATTTTCTTCTCCTTTCCCAGATTTCCATTTTTGATCACTAAGCTAAGTGAAAAGATATGGACAGGTTTCTGGTGAATCATTAATGTACGTATAAATATATGGAATCGTACTTGTTTTAATGAAATTTTTAAATTTTTTTTGTTTCTATTTTTCGTTATTGTAGACATAAATGAGTGCAGTGCTCTTGGTCCAGTCTGTGACGTCCATGCCAAATGCGAGAACATCATTGGATCATATCTGTGCTCATGCAAATCTGGGTTCTTTGGAAATGGAAAAACTTGCTCTGGTGAGAAAGAAGATAGCATTAAGAAACTGGCACTCTTTAACCTTAAGGATTGAAAGAGTTGTATTTTCACCCCCTTTTAAATGTAAAACACTCCTAAGGAGTGATAAGAAAACATAGTAGAGCACATTTCTATCATCAGCCGTTTAAAAGAATTTCCTCATTAACGGATATAAAATTACCGCCTTGCATTCTCCTGTTAATGGCTGTTTCGCTATTTTCCTTCCTTTAGATTACGACGAATGCAGTGCTTCAGTTGTAGCCTGTGATCCATTGGCATCTTGTCAAAATACCGCTGGGTCTTTTCTCTGTCTCTGTCAAAGCGGATACACCGGGGATGGTAGAACCTGCATTGGTAGGAGACAGTTTGATTAGGAAGGGACATTAGACACTGATAAAACCCAAGATTCTGGGATATTACCTCGTGCATTCTTAGGTCGATTATTCACGATGCCCTGAAGAAAGATCAAATAAAAGCATTTTGATGATGAGAGAATAGACTCTGTTTCCAGCCGGGCTAGCGGTTTATTGTAAGAAATACGATTTTTTTTAGATCTGCACGAAGCACATGCTGCAATTTAAGTCAGGATTCTACAGCAGAGATATAACTTAAAACACACTATACACATGCAATTCTGTTTTTGTACGAAGTATGTTATGTTTCGCCATGGAAAACAATTGCTTTTTCAACAGATGTCGACGAATGTCATTCCGGTTCTTTTTCTTGTCATGCACAAGGCCAGTGTATCAATGTAATGGGCTCGTATGATTGCAGATGTCTTCCAGGCTATACAGGAGACGGTCAACATGCTTGCTCGGGTAATTTATAGCCTTTCCTACTTAAGAGAAAGCGATGATGAAAGCAGACCTGTTTACTCATCTATCATCTCAACGTGACTGCTATACTACAAAAGTTTTAGACCCCTCTCGATTTATGGCAAGTTCGTGGAAGATAATTCTTTAATTTTCAAGTCTCAGAAATTTCGTCCAAGATGTTAGGAACGTATTTAAAATAACGAAAACAACTATCGAGGCACCTATTGCAAAAGTTATGTCTAGAAGCAATCTCTTCTTTTATATATGTGAAGAATAACATGTTCATTAACAGATGTGGACGAGTGTCAGGCGGGCTTACATTCATGCCACGCACAAGCACAGTGCGTCAATGTGAATGGCTCTTATAACTGTACGTGTTTATCTGGATATGGGGGAGATGGTCAGCAGGTTTGCTCAGGTACCAACATGATAATGACATTGGAAAATGATAATGACGACATTTATTATTATGGAAATAGTAGATAACGATGCATAGCAAATGAAATAGCAATTCACCTCTTTTGAATGTGATAGTGATTAGAGGTCAACAAACATGTACATTTTTTTTTTCGATATTAAGGAGTTTATATACATTAATGTTTATGGCAATCTTATGCATTAACGATGACCATACAAATTTCCTTAGGGCTCTTTTTGCCATAATGTCTCAATCTACATTGTAACATCTGTTGTCACTGACGAAGAAAAAGATGCTTGCAAGAATTGCATTTTATTAAATGGATACAATCACCTTACGCCAGTCTCTGCATCCAAAATTGCTGTCGCCTTTAATTCTTATGAAGATATGTGTAGTCTTCATCATTAAGAGAGAAACTGTAGAATTCTGTACCTCTTTTTTTATTTAACCTTTTCCAAAGCGCTCTGTGTTTTTTTATCAGATGTGGACGAGTGTCAAGATGGTTCATTTTCCTGTCATGCTCAAGGCCAGTGTGTGAATTCACAAGGTTCCTATGATTGCACATGTCTACCTGGATACACCGGGGACGGCGACACAAAGTGTTTAGGTTTGTGAAACATCTTAGTTGGTTTTTTTGTGCCTCGTTAATTTTGATTTAAAGATATCTCATGTAAGATTTCGTATTATCATTTAATACCACTAAAGTGACCATGGTTGAGGGAGGGGAACCATGAATGAACTTAAATCTCCCACGTAAAATTAAAGTGATAATGAGTGAGATTACATTGAAGTATCTTAGCTTCGTTATTGTGTCGCTTCGTCAAGAAGTGTACTAATATCAATCCAAATCTAATGTCCTTGGTGATATCATTCGCCTGCATGGGGCTTTGATGCAAAATTTGATCAATTGTACGAAATCATCGGACACAATTTAAAACAAAATCCCCAGAGAAATCATTGACAACCTATCACGCAGAATATACGTGCAGAATGAGGAAACGAAATGCTTTATTCATATTCTAATCTCTCGAGGAACAAATAATCATGATATTTTGTCTTTCTCTTTATAACTACTGGGATACATTTCATACGTCTACAGATGTGGATGAGTGTCAAAAGGGGTCCTATCACTGTCACGAGATTGCTAACTGTGTAAATGTGATTGGCTCGTATGATTGTATGTGCAAACCAGGATATGAAGGAGATGGAAAAAACATGTGTTCAGGTAGGAGCACCTAATTCAAAGATAAGTAATATTTATTAAAAAAACATCAGCCGCATGCTCATTGGCTACGACCACGTCAATTTATCTGTTACAGTCTTAAGTTCAGAGGGGTTCAATTCAAAGTTAATTGAATTGCAGAAAAGTCGCGAGAGCACAAAAAAGCAAAATGGCAGACAGGTTTGGGGAAACTAATAACTTTCAAATTTAGAAAATTTAAGAAGAGTACAGAGAACAAAAACACCCAAAAAGCAAAATTAACGGTAATTTTAAAAGGACGAACTTGGAGTTTACGTCACAGTTCGTTCGAAAGACGGAGAAGATTACAAGCGTTTTTGCTGCTAGTAGGCTCTTGC